GCAACAGTTATGTTCTTAGAGCCGCGACTTAGAATCCTCTCCAAATTTCCCCAGGCATAAATTCCAGAATCAGAAGCATCAAGAGCGTGAAAGAGTATTCTTTTCCTGGAAGATAGTTGATTTGCGAGCAACAGATGGACTCGAGGGCCGAGGGCGGGGGCGAGGGCAATGAAAGGGTGCTCTCCCAATGTTTGTGTACATCGCCACGAGAATCGAAGTATTACTCGGGCAACTTTTCTTGAACGATGGATTGACGATTTCGAGTGGGGGTATTAGTTACAAAGTCGGCCACTAGAGTATTTTAAGTAATGCCAACGTGTGTGAAATGAAAGTCAAAACTGCATCTTGTGCTCAACTTTGTCGGGAGTTTTAGGTGACTCCCTTGAAGGACCTGGACCTCACTCAGCTATTTATTTCAATATTGACAATAAATCTGAACAGGGGTTCTGCACTATAAAAGCAACTGGCTTTGTCTAGCTTCTGTTTTCTCGTCAACGAAGTTTTAATGCTTGGAAGGTTGTCATCAGTGCCTGCTGCGAGCTTTTGCCTTCAACTGTTTATTGCACAAGGGAGGGGGATGAAGGTCATCGTTCAAAAATAGTTGCGCGTGTAATACTATTACATTAAAAAAACATAAAAACATTTTAAACATATTATGTTGGTCGAGAAGTTAAAAGAACTTAAACTACTTAAAGTCTAAAACTCAGGATATAATTTGAAAATGTAAATTAAACAGAATAAACTGTAAGAAATAACTCACCCTATTGTGTGTTTCTTGCAACAAATCTGTAAATATTAACCACATCCCCTTGGAATGTACCATTAGATCCAAGATTTTTGATCCTTAACATTTTAGTTTCATTCTAACAAACCATCCATTCCAACTCAAGGTAATAAACTTCTAAAAACAATAGCCATTTTAAATAATTTATAATATTAATATTTATATAATATTTATATAAAAATAATTTCATTTAATCTTTATACATTACTTGTTTGTTAGTATGTGTTTTCTTGCTCTTACGTCTATTTATACATTCGATTCTTGATATCTGTAATATACCTTTAAAATAGTATTTCTAAACGTTGTTATACGAGTGTTGTCTATTGACTGTTGCTTTAATGAGTATAATAATCCAAAAGCTATGCATCTCTAAATATAAGGTCTTGATTGATTTAAAGAACTGTTGGATTCGCAAATAACCTGTTGTTGCAACTTACTATAAATAAAAAAAGAAACAATAATGGAATAAAAAATGAATTCTTAAACTTTTTGAAAGAAGATGAATAGGTAAGAAAATAAAAAAGGAAACTATTAATGCTACAACAGCACGCAAGTACTTATATTACTTGTAACGATGACTAAATATTATGTGTAATATAGTGAATTGTATTCTACTATTTCTTAAGCTATCACATGAAACATTGTTCAGCAATAGAAACGTGCGAGATGCAAATGGACAATTTTCGAAGGTGAAATTTTCGTAAGTAGTCTCGTCTTCCGATTTGTCTTACACCGTACCAGTTTGTCTTCCATATTTGTCGCTAGGGAACGCCTTAACAACGATGCCGGCAGGCGATCCTGGTTAGGTACATATGCTGTCTGGTTAGACGGGAATTGTCGTAGGATTCAATTTTACAATACAAAATACACAATAACGTCTTTTGGCTAGGATTCTTCTTCCTACTGCAAGTGGAGTAAGGTCAGTGTGGATTTTACACTCTCCAAAAATCCATGGCCCTCAACCGGAACACCGGCTTAGATGGCTCAGAGTATCAAATTATGTCACTGCACGGCCTCTGATCTGAAGGTTCTAGGCTTCGTGTCCCGATGGTGGCAGGATGTTTTACACTAGCTACATATTTAGGTCGAATTCAGCTCCTGTCAGGTAGAGAATTCTAGCGGTTGCCTGCTCTGATCGATGATTTTCTGTGGTTTCTCCGATCAGCACCAAGCGAATGTCGGTGCAGTATTCTAACAAACGGGCCGCAAAATGCGTGTGATTTTTCCTCCTTCCTTGTCCTATCCTCACCCCTTACCACACTTTTACCCTCTTCCTCACTTTTATACTTACATGTACTACACTACCACATATACTAGAAGAACAGTTGGGAGCTGAGAGCTTGTCCCAGTTTACCGGTGCCCTGCTGGTCGAAGATACCCGATTGGAAAAAAACTCCGCATGTTTAAGATGTGGTCGGCTCCGGATCTCGCCATCCAGTGAAGGAAGATTATCGATTCCACGATAAACGCATGGATAACACTTAAAGGACTAATGATGCCCGTAGTTGCATGCCGGGAATCACTAACCAATCATTCAATCAATTCATCAATTAACCGGAATCAAAACGCCACTCTAGGTGTTACGAGGTCAATAAGCATTCGCTGAATTCACCTGCCGAGGACTACGAAGGATTGCGCCGGTTATCAGTTGTAATCATTAGGGGGCAGATTGTAATGAAATGTCATTCTTTTCTTTTCACTTTAGAACAATGCCATATAGATTTTCATTTTATGTTATGACGAAAGGAAATTACCCATTTTTATATGATATTTTTTAATATTTTCTTTTACATTTTTTCCATTTCGACTAATAATTCCGTGGTCCGTGGTTTTTTACCTTTTTACGTCATTTTAAAGTATTTGTCGTGGATTTCATCTATTTTAATATTTTAATGGTACTTCCTTCAAATAATATTTACGAGATGCAATAAATTATCTTCGCAGAATACTTGTGTAGTCTATTCAGTTTCCTTTCTCTGTTTATTATATATATTTGATAGTTTGATTTGATTTATTTGCGCTAAAAAGCAGAAAATCTGCGTATGAGATATGAGGTGTGAGAAAAACTGTGAGTATACGAGATCTTCATACGTTTTCTTGAGCTTCAGAAAGTTTTCTGTAGTTTACTCAACTTTTTATCAAACATATATGATTTATGAATAAAATTTGCTAATAAAAGGAGGTTAGCAACATTTAAAAAATAGAAATTTTCGTTGTCGAAATTTAGAAAATTTATTTGCATCGGTAAGCGAACTACATATTTGCTGACAAAATTGCAACCCCAAAAAGCCCAACAAAATGTTATATTTTCTTAATAGATTCAAATATAGTCTGATTTCTTACGTGTCTTTTGTGCATGCCAGCGATTGGCTATCAGTGATATCATTCATTTTTGAAAAACAATAACAAATCACGTTCTTTCAAAAACCAGACCGTGCAATGATGATAGTTAACTGGGACGTCGGATTTTTAACACAATATTCTTGTACAGATTTGGTTTATTTATTGTTAGCATAAAGTTTAGTTTACGAAATAGTTATGAATTTCTCTAATTTTGTATTTTTTGTTTCACACCTCAACCTTTCTCTTTAGATTTATTTTTTATACTACGTCATAATTTGGCATATTATAGAATGTGATACTGGTGCAAATATTATTTAAATATATTGTATTACTAACGTGCAGTCTTCGTCATATGTTCGTTATCTATGTCTGGATTCTACAAGTTCCCAGCGCGACTAAACATGTTCCTACTGGCTGCGCGAGTAGCGGAATGTGAAATAATTAAACAATTCAATGTATCAATACGTAATTGTAGCTTCCGAACATGTGGTATTAACCTAGATTAAAAATTGATACTATTCACAATTTAATAAATTATTACAGCCAGAAATTCTTCAACTCCTTAGAGGATTAACAACTTTTCATTAAGCACAAACACACACTTTTAATTAAGCTCAAACTTACACATTCCTATGCCCAATAAACTGCCCATGAAAAAGAAAGATAATTTTCATGCAACTTAAATCACATAATATTTATTATCTCTCTCCCTCATTTTCTAAAATTTCTTAAAATATCTAATTATAAATTTGAATTTAACAGAATTTATGTTTTTAACGTAATACTGTGAATAATCCCTACCTCAGGTGTAATCCAAATTTTCAGTTATGTCAATTTGTGATGTCAAAAACCCTAAAAGACATTCTTGCCGAACAGGTAGGAATAAATTTAAAAAAGAACTACATCGCAGAGCGATATCAGAGCTGTAAAATTTTCTCTTTTATTTCTCAGAGAACAAAAAAAATTCAGAGCCTCTTAACATTGTCACAAATTAAAATTAAAAAAAAAAATTTTTAGGGAATGTTGTCTACTTTCAATTTGTAGATAAATGTTATTTCGATAAAGCGTTTACGTGATGAAGGCGAAATATTTAAAAAACACTAAATTTTTAGTTTTTTAATAAAGCCCAGGTAAGTCCAAAATTCGAATTTAGCACCCCAAGTAACGTATGGTGTTCGTGAGGAAATAAAGTTCGGGAATTTTTTTTGATCGGCCCGTTTGAGCGCCGATTGACTGGAAATTAAGCAAAGATCTAATATGCATTTAAAAGTCATTGCAGAATAAAACAAACATTTCATTGTTTAACTCAAAATTAAGAAAACTTAGTGCTAATAGAACTCATGAACAATCATTAATTAATCCAACTAATAAAACATCATTTTATACATTTTGAAGACCCATTCAACATAAAAACGACCACATGATTGGTCGTCTGGTGAGACTGGCTTCTAAATTCTGTGCGTATAGAAAGTTACAAGAATAGCAGAACACCGAAGGAAAACATTTATTAAGATTTATATTGGGTCAGGTATTTGAAGTCCCTTGCTTCCTAAAATTTCACGGATTCTTGGAGCCTATGAGAAGAAATTCATATTACTTACGTAGGAAAAAGCGCATCCCTGGGATCATACAACGGCCAACAGTTTAATTCGCATTAAAACAGGCGCACTCTCCGCTTCAGCACCTGCGTTCCATATTTAAATGGCTATACTGCTTCGTAACATTTTAATCATGATCTGTCACCAACTGGGCACAAACAACCAATCCACGGAGAAACATGAGCTAATATTGTAATATTAATGACCCTTTCACATAGAGCCACTAATCAGAGCTGCTGCTGTTAAAGCATTGGTTTAAATGTCGGTATTCACAGGGCGCCGCAACAGCACTGCTGTGGAAGTAGCATTCCCGCCACCAGAAGGACAATCACGATTCCTTGCTTCCGCTAGGGCACTGTTCTTAACGGCAGCCATCTCACGAGGCCCCTCGAAAGTGCAAGTAAGTAAATGTTGACGGCAATGCGTCCACATTGGTGACTCACTGGCCCTGCCTTTCTCGTACTCAGAGGCACTGGTAAAGGGCTGAGTGTACGAGGGCCATTCAAATATAAACCGGAGCTTCGTATATTTGTCTCGCGTATTTATGTCATCATCACAGCGTCCCCAGAAATCTGTCAGGGGAAAGTAAAAAGGAGGTAACCTTGTACAGGGCTCTCATATTTACATCAATCGTTGCAGTATCACTGGAAGGAACCGAGAGTATCAGCAAGACAATGCAATTGTATTGCCAACGAAGGTGTGAAATTGAATGAAATTTTAAAGAGACCGAGAGCAGAGTTTGGTTATACGTTTCTGAGTAAAAACCGAGTAATACATTGGGACCAGAAGTGCCGAAATGAACAAATAAAGGAAAGGACATCAATAAAAGTAATTTATTTTAAGTTCGACACGCCTAAAAGAAGATCCGCAGTGGCTAATTATTGTGGCAATTCAATGTTTGACACACCTCAAGTGTTTGACAACATTTAGGCGTGAGCCTACCAAGCCTCAGATAAGTGTGTTCCTGCTATGGTATTTTAGTGATTCGAAGGTTGAATAATAGTTACTCCCACAAAGGAAAATAACTGTTGAGCTTGTGTTTGATTGCTCAAGGGATCAATGTTTTTTCGCCAGAAAAGTGAATAGATGTTTGGAACAGACGCGAGTGCGCTGATTTCAAATATGGTATCAGTTTTTACTTTTCACATACAATACATTTTGTCGGTAATAGAACTTTTAATGTTCACGCGGGAGACGGGTTCCGGGAACTCTCATAAGATGTCCCTTCGGCGATGCATATAGTGAATAATATTCGCTCCCATCGCCGAGAAAATTAGAGTAAAATTAAAAATGCATTCAGAAAAACGTACCGTGAATTACTAACCACCCACTTCAACACATAACCCTTCCAAATAACATTCTCGCAACAATCTGACAAAAAAAATACAATGGGAATTTCATTAAACCAGTGGCGGCGATTACAATAGATGACTAAAACAATTACAGAGTCAAGTACATACATAACTGAGGCGATACGAACAATTCGACAAAATAATAAGTCAAAGATAGTGCAGCTATAACATCACGTACTTTAGAAATGTTTATGTAATACTATTTTTACAACAATTTCTCTCCGAATTAACACATATCAGTCATCAATTTTTGTGAAACTCACTACAAATCGGGGAACATTTGGTGCGAAACCTAAATATTTTCAAACAAATATAAACACTAATTTAACAATTCTAACTGCTACAGGTAAACAATGCCCCAACAAACACACATAATTCACAGAAATTCATCTGAATGTCATTATTGCATTTCAATCTGATATTTCCTGAAGGGTAGCAATTTTATTTGTTATATTTCAAATATGTTTAAAAGAATTTCTAAAAGATTAATTTGTAATCGTATAACAAAAGCTCGAATGAAGGAAACAAACAAATAAACATGTAATTATATATAAATTCTAATTTACGATGATCCAACTGCCTGGTTCTCCTCTTGCCGTAAGATGAAAGTATGTGTGTTTTACAAAATCCTATACGCTGGTTGCGAAAATGAAATCAGATATGTTCCATCCCGTATCAATGTTTCTGGAAAGGATACGCCACCTACATTACTTTCAAAAAACCTGGAAACTCCTCAGTAACAGTACAGGAGAAATATGTATTTGATTCGTATTAAGTTACTAAACCAATACTAATTTTTTCGAGAAATTCAACTTTGTCTCATTTGAAGATTTGTTTTTGATAAAGACATTTCATAATAAAAAAAATGTATCTTTACAATTGTTCGGCCAATTGTATATGACTTTATTCAAATTCTGCCTTTATGGACATATTTCGTTAGGAAAAACTCTTGATCTTCATAATTGTAATTGTAGGAAGACAGTGAAAAAATGATGAACTTTACATGTTTCGAAAAATCGGGGAACATACGACAGCACCATTCTCTTAAACGTCCTTCACACTAAACAATAGCAAAGCTTAATAAAAAACGATGGAGCAAGTTCTGTTAAAAAATTGAAAATGTCCCATGGGCATAATGTCAAGTACCCCCAAAATTAAAATTTCAGTATCAAACAGGCTGACAGACGGACAATCGATTTTTCGGTATCAAGGACTCACAAAACGGATTCTGACTACACCTCGTTTTAAAGGATTTTGCCCCATAAATTTAGCAAGTAGATTTATCCAGTTTTGAGTAACCAGGGTCCGGCAATAAAAGTTTTTCTGCCGAAAATTCACTGCTCTTTCCCGCATCATTATATTACTTTCTCTTCTTATGAAGTACATTCTTAAGGTGAGAAAGTAAAATGTAGTCCTAAGCACATCCACACTATAGCCCGAACGGTCAGCGCATACACATTATATATTTTTTTCAAATTCAATCAAAGAAGCTTACCTTTCATTCCCATACTATAACCAATACATTTGCACAAACCTTCGTCGGACACTTCTTTCTCAAAAACTTCCCTATTTCTGACACAGTCCTCAAATATATCTTAGAATCTGACTCCCACGTAACTCCCAACATCTTGATTGCTCTCATAACTACGAATTTTTACAATAAAAAAGTAATAAATACGGTCCCGACGGAATACTCTCTACCCAAATAAAGCACCTTCAAAAAAATGCAGTAAACTTCCCCTCCAAAATTTGTAACTCCCGCTTTATCTCACTCTACACTTCCCAACAAAATGGGAAACTGCCCGAGGAAATTATGTTCCCTAAACCTGGCAAAGATCATCGACTTCCATTCAACTACGGTCCCATCAGGCTCCCTATCATTGAAAAAATTATTCACTTTATGCTCACCTCAATTCTGCATCGTATTATCCCCCCCCCAATTCGCTTTTACAAAGCCTCCCTCATAACTATCATCTAGAATTGGAACGCTCCTTCACATTCTTAGGGCCCCTTCACACGTGGACACAGCAACGCGCTTCCGAACACCTAGTAGCAAAGCATTGCTTTAAATGGAGGTCTCCCCACATGCTTCGGAATAGCGCAGCTGTGGCATTCGGCAGCGGACGCTAGCACAGCAGCCCTGGAGGGAGTACGCGCCACAACTAGCAAAGCATTGCTTTAAATGGAGGACCCACCATGTGCGGCGGGTTCGCGCGGCTATGTCTTTCGGCGGCGGACGCTCGCTACCTGCAGCCGGGGACGGTGTCCGCACCACCGCTCGCAAAGCATTAGTTTAAATGAAAGTCTTTCCACTGGCGCACTCGTCGCAGCGTTTTATTTGCTGCGGTCATGTCGCTTTGTTCGTCGCGAAGGGTCGATGAAACCTACCCCCGCAGACTCCACATCTCTCTACGCGAAAGTCGGTACCGGCCCGGTTCTTTGAGGCCGGTTGGCCTCCGTGGGAAGTTCCTTGCCGCTTATCAAAAAGCAGTGTTCACGTCGGAGGGGCACTTTCGCCCCTCCCCCATCCGTCGTGGCAAGGTGATTCTGACCTCGCTGAAGAACCGACCATTGACCAAGAAGAAATATTGTTTGTAGTGGTAGTTTCGTGCTGGGAGAGCCGCACATTGGCTTCGTAAGCACCATACACTGATTCAGTATATTATATTAATTAGAATCCAAGATGTGACAATATTATCTCTCTTTAGTACGTGTGTGTGATACATAGTGTGATATATAGTGCCCACGAAGCCAAAATATGTGATAGCGTAGATGAAATAATAATCCCTTTTCGTCATCTTGGCTAGCTGAGTCGACATCGAGTAAATTATTGTAGAGGGGGTATTATTAAAATTTAATACTTACTCAACTTTGTTACCGCAGTCAAATACCCACTATATTCACGAACCATACCCATGCCTATAAAATCACTGGCCACAATATTCTTCAGAAAAGTCCATAACCATTAATCGTGAAAAATGTTTAGGTCATCCTTTTCTCCCAAAGTGTTTAAGCTATTTAATAGTGTAATTTACACTTGGTTTTATTAAAAACTTTGTAAAAATGCTTACCAAAAGAAATTCAGTTGGTTTTCTGTACATAAATAGAAAGTTTTCAAAAATATCGCCTGCCAAACTAAGCGGAAGAACTTCTATGGACAGATCAGTGAGCTATGAAGAACCCAATGTTTACTGAATAACTCAGTGGTATCAACAAGAAGTCATGGAAAAGCGTTCAATAACTTTCGAAAATTTATTATAATGACTTCTAATTACAAAGAAATCGTGCAGGAATTGCTAAGTGCATATCAAGATATTGAATGTTCCGTGTCATTTCCTGTATGCACATTTACACTTTCCATCCAACCTATATTGGTGACAAGGTAGGAGAGTTTTACCAGTATATTAAAGATAGTGAAGGAATGATACCAAGGATCTCGGAATCAATACTGGCCTGCATACAATCGTTGAATACTTTACCTGATGACCAAAACATTTACCAAATGAAACCAACAGGTGTGAATTTTCAATTTGCAAATCCGTTTTAATTCAACTGTTATTATTTTTTACCATTCTTTCTTTATAGAATTAAAACATGAAATTTACAAAACAAACAAACTATTAAACATCAATGAAATTGTTGTAATTTCATTTCGAGTCTTTGTGCTTTTTATTTCAACAATCGTATGTATTTGGCTGAAGCTCAAACGTATTCAGCTCGAGAAACTGATATACAAACACCTACTTCCATCTCTTGGCAATTACATTTACTTTCAAATTGTTTGAGAATCTTGTAGTTTTTACTGATTGGTTGTTAGAACTTTAAAAAAAAATAAAACTCTAACCCAACAAAATATTCGCTGCTTAGATTTGTTCCATATAAGTTATATATTCATACTTTAGTCCAGGTCCGAACTGATATCATTACACTGCCTTTTAAAGAGAAGGTCCGGGTCATTATTACTCAAATGGCACGCATTTTAATATAAAGCTTTAAGAGTAATAATAACCAGGGAATGCGCGAGTTCTACTAAACTTTTCATCGATAT